GCACGATTGTCTAGAACCTGGTCACTGGAAGAAAGAGAACACGACTGACTGAGACTCTTTCTAATCATATCTGTGCTGTAGAGAAAGGAGAACAGTCAAGCCACAACGCCATTGTAGTGTTGCTCAGTACCTTCACCAGATTCCGAATCTCCACATGGTTAGACGACTACAATATACACAACACATGATACGGTAGTTACAGCTCTCTTTCTGAATGCATAACAGTTTCTTCTTGATTTTTCTTTTCTTTTTTTATTTTGTGGATGAGAAAAGACTTGATGATTGATCACCCTGACATGTGGCCTAACCCGGCGTTTGGGAAAAAAAAAAGGACCCATTTGTGGCAGGAGGACCGTGAAAACAGCATTTGGAACTCTTAATAAAACAAATAAAGAAAAAAAAAATCTCAAATTATTAAGAAAAGTGAATATCACTGTGTAATATTTATTCAACTTGTAATTTATGTACTCTTTTAACCTTTGTCTTTTTTTTTGTTATGACAAAGCATTTATTTAAATAAAGTTATGTATTCATTTAAGCCCTTGTTACGTTCATTCTTATTAAAAAACGACAATAAAAACAAAGATTAGTGACTTACAGTCATACACAAGTTTGACCGCCCCTACACTGTTAGAAATAAAGGTTCTGTGCAGGTACATTTTTCGTTCATCAAGCTACAATGTAAATGTACCTCAAAGGTGCAACAGTGACTTTAAGGTCTAATTGTGAACCTTAAATTAGTTTTTTTCCAGGTGAACAGTACGTATTTATCTTTTCATAACCTAATGTTCTAAAACAGAACAATAAAACAAAGAGCCTGGAGACGAGGCGGGGTGTGTGGAGTCAACACTTAGACAATATAGTCAGTATAAAACTTAGGGAATACAATTTCAATAGATTATGGTACAATTATGTTCCCTGACCAAAGGTACTGAGATGTTTTGCATGGGCCACATTTCATGATATGTTTAATTTGACCAGAGGCACCCATAATTTTGAAGGAGACTGAATGTTTTCACAGGAACACAAAATCAGTCCATACATGACATTTAAACAAATACGAATCTGTGATTAAAACTCTGCATTAGTGAAAAAACTGAGATCCAATCAACATGTTTTTTAGTGAGAGCTGTATTTTAGAACTAATAATTGATAGTGCTTTAAAAACAGTGGAGATAATATTGTCTTATCACTTTAATATATATGTGTAAATAAATAAATCTGGACTTTTCGCCGTGCTGTTCAAATCTTGCCAATGCTATTGTTATTGTTGATAGACCAGGGGTGGTAAAATGGCCTGGAGTGACTAAACATTGCAGGATACAGGTTTATTTTGGGTGAATACATTAAAGGCCTGCCCGGAGGCTAGTCACCTGGTTTCCAGAAGAAGTCAAAGAGACTGCACAGGAACAAGGAAGTCATTTAGCATTGAGCCCCAACTTCAAGGGGGAAACTCACACCGCCACCAAGGGACAAACTCACCATTCAAATTATGGAGGAAGCCAGTGCCACAGACAGATTGTGCAGGCCATGATGTGGAAATCTCTCCTTTAATCGCAGCGCTTCAGGGCAAGTTAGCATAACCTCACACCACAGGGCTTCACTGATTAGCATGGGGTACTTAAGAGACAGAGCTAAAATCAGAGGTCGTCTAACCCTGTGGTGATAAATACTGCGAGGCCCACCTTGCAAGACCAAAGCAAAAGCCTTTACCTTGTCCCAAGTTAAAGCGATAGTTCAGCTAACTTCAAAAAGGCTTGGTTTCATGGTTTCTGACAGTGTATGATATACCATCATCTATAAAGTGGACAAAAATGCAGAATTCTTTCCATTGTTTTACATAATAGTATGTATGACAATGTCAGAAATCACATAAGCAAGTCTATTTAAGATGACATAACACTATTTCATGCTAATTGGCAGGGTTGAGAAGTAATGGAATACAAGTATTTGGAATGTGTATTCAGAATACAAAAATTAAGTATCTGTATTCAGTCCAGGTTATATTTTGTAAAGGCAGTATCATCTTTCAAAGACACATCACTGCTTGTTAAGTAACTGTTTTAAAATCAGCACACAGCATGTAAAGGCGTACTCTGAAGAAGAACTCAAAAATGACTTCTTTGCAAACACTGAAGATCCTGCTAAAGCCTGAGTAGACTGATAAATCTCTGTGATGAATCATTATTCTGAGTTTTAGCGAACAGTCTCCTCAGTAGTGCACATGTTCATGAGTGATAAGCTTAGCTTTGGTATTGTACTGGACCTGTGCGTGCGTTCTGAGGCAAGTTACATACCTATCATTAACTGGAAATCACATTATTACCCACTTTAAAGTCAAATTTTGTGAGATATTGTTATTAGGATATGGTGAATTGTTGCCTTAGGTCATGATACCTATCATAGCTACTTTTTCAAAGTATTTTGCCCAACCCTGCTAATTGGTGAAGCTCCCATTACTTGTTAACTACATTAATGCTACAGTGCAAAACTAAAGAAGCTAATTTCAGATATAAAACATGCAGTGCTTTGCAAAAGTCAAACATTATCCTTTATTTATTTAATTACCAGCCAAAATGGCCATTAAGTACAGGCTATTCATTTTTCAGATGTTTCTGAAGAGATTAGATATTAGATAATCTACTTGCATAAGAAAAGGAAGAGTCAAAGGAAAATAAAAAAACAGGAGTTTCCAAAACTGTATTTAATTTAAATATAGAGAAACCGGGACTCCAAAAGACTGTGCAAGACACGGTAGACCACCAAAACTGCCACTATCAGATAAAGAGTACTTACAGCTTTCATCTTTGATAGACAATAAAAACTTAAAATCCACTCTTTTTTCAGATCTGAAAAAAATCCACAGGTGTTTCTGTTCATTCTTCCACTGTGAGAAGACAACTCAGCACTATGAGTCTGAAGGGATCTGTAGCTGTCAAGAAGCCTCACTGAAAATTCGATTTGCAACTGAAACAAGAACTGCTGGTGTTTGCAGTGTCCAGACCTCAACATCACTGAGTGTGTTTGGGATTACTTGGATCAAGAGAAGCAGCAAATGCAAACAAATCCTAAGACTGAACTCCCTGCAGTATTTTTTAAAAACTGAAAGCAAGTCTCCCTAAAAAATGGAAGCTGTAATAAAGACAAAGGGTGGACATATTAATGCTATGTATGTATTAATATGGAAATGTGTATTGTAATGCTTAATATGGTTTATCCTTTTTTCTGCCACTGAAACATAACTTGTACTTTGTTACTGGACATAAAATAAATGAAGGTGGTCACTGACTTTTGCACAGTACTATATCTTGGCTGATGAACTCTATTTAGGACAAGAAGAAGATTGTATAAATTATGATCTTTCACCAAACTGTGGGCTTAACTGTCCGTGTTGGCAGGCTGAAGGCTGTTGCACATAATCGGTGAAACTTGGTGTGATCAAGACAGGCCTTTTATTTATCATCTCTGTTTTGGTGCTCATCGACTGCATTTTTTCCTGATAACTAAGGTTTACAAAATCCGTGACTTATCACAGCACTCCCAGTTGACCTAAAGATGGGACCAGTGTTCATTCACAAGAGCCAGACCAAGAACAAAGAAGCAGACTCCAAGTGAAACATGTGCAAGGGGATTTGATTTGTGAGGCAGTGAACATGACAATTACAACTGCCTTCAAAGAATCCAACAACTGCACATTAGACTTCAAAGCATTCATGCCCCTTTTATTACTTAATTAGGCCAACAACTATGGATGGCTACATGTGTTTTTTACACTGAGCCTAAGAGAATCATGATCAGAAGATGGTAGTAGCCTCCTTCACCCACCCATGGTCCTAAGAGTCACGCACTCATAAACTGCTGAACAAAGTGATTAAGGTCAATATTTTGGTGGCACTTTATTTTGAGTGGTCCTTTTAGATGAAACACACACTCAATGGACTCTCAGTAACAGGTCAAAAACACATGAGGGTTAGGATTATGTTTTGGGTTGAGGTCAAGGTTAGGGTTAGAATTAGGGCCGGGGTGAGGGTTCGGTTTTGCATAATGGAAGTAACATATTAACAATACATCTACTTAATGTAAGTAATTTATCAACAGAACATCTACAAGACATTCACCTCAACGTATTCAGATGCTTCACTACTGCTACTGCACTGATGTGTTGTTGATGTGTTACTGATAATGTGTTGAGTTTATTAATCATCTACGAAGGACCACTCCAAATAAAGTGTTACCAATATTTCATGTACTTTTCAGTCTTTAAGCATATGCATTGACCCACATCTGGATGACCGATGAACTGAAATTATTAGTGTAAATCATAAGAATATGACATTATTATTAATGGGTTATGTGGAATCTTGCACATTTGGTTCCTGCAAATAAACTATGTGCTTCAGTTAGACTCCATAATATGTGCTATGTTACTTAGTTACACCTACCAGCTGTCAGCTCAGCTGCAATCAATCCATCAAAAAGCTGGATAACACTTTATTGAAGGGCAGTATCCGTAAGGCTACATGACGCAATAACTGACATAAACCTAGAAAAACATTTACAAAGGCTCATTCCAACAAATGTCAGTCGTCATAAAGGCTGCTTTAGTCATTTTATTTATCATGTAATCTCGTCACAGCAATTGTTCTGAAGACTGACTGTTTGAATAAGCCTTTATAAATGAAGAGTTTCGTTCCAATATACTGTATATCCATTTATAACAATAATAAAGGTGGCATTAATCATAATATAGCATTGGTATTTATTGTATGTCTACAGCCCATTCACAACAATGTGCATCATAAAAAAAGTGGTCTATAATAATGAAACGCTTTAAATGTCTATATAGGTGTATGTCAGCTTAAAGGCTTATGTATGTGTCTGGTGTTATAAACGCTGAACATTTAGTATAGTACAGCTTTAAGTAAGCTTAAGATAAGCAACTCTGATTATTTATGTCCTTTTTGTATGAAACAGAAATAAAAGAAAGACAAAACAAACAATTTTGAAAGTAACTTGTTTAATCATATTTTAAAGTTCTGTAATAAATGACATTAACTGTGCTGCTTCACATGCATTTATGGCTTCCCTTTTCTGAATTACAGGCAGGCACTTTTATTCACTGACCATTTCTATAAGAAGACACAGGAAGCATGCTGCTTTTTTGGCGGTTAACAGAGTAAAGCTATCATACTATCTGATGCTGGTGTGCCTCCCAGTACTCAGTAACATGCAAAGTTACAAAAAAAATAGAAAAAAAGTAAGTGCATGTGAGAGGCTGGCATGGCACATGGTGTTTTTGATTTGCTGAAATTTCCCCTGTCGCCTATATGAGGTTCATCAAACACAGCGAGCAGCTCTGACAGTTTTACACTGCAGCAGATGGCAAACACTGCTTTCCTCTGTCCTCTGGCTGCAGGCGTGGCACAGCAACCCCCTCCGTACACGCATTCATGCCATCACACACACACACACACACACACACTCTCTTTCAGCCCTTTAGGACAACTCTGGGAAATCAATATGCCCAAAAACCGCAGGGATTGGTTTCGCTTTGTTTTCAAACTAGGCCAGACTCAAACTACCGTAAAATTTACTGTACCACCGGAGGGCAGGCAGCAATCTATTTCGGAAACCAACCCAAACGGAAAACTCACAGCCAGTGTCTCAGCAATCTCTCTGCTGGCACCCAAAGCCCGCGATGGGGGGAGAGGGATTTAAGAGAGCTGGTCTGTAGCACCAAAATACACACTAAAAAAAGAAAATCAATGAAAGCTAATTTTAAAGGCGCGCTGGACATGGCAATGCCATGTGAGTTATTGGAGGTTAACATGTTATCTGAGAGGCAAACTCACAGAGGTCCAAATCGAGCTGAGCAGTTGAAGTCCGGTTTTTCGTACTGAGCTTTTCGTACGGAGCTGTGCCGCATTTGTTTACAATCGATCAAGCTTAATCAGCTGCTATTTCTGGATGCAGTCATTTTGAGCAGTTCAATGCTATTCGCTCATAGAGAGACAAAGACAAAGAGAGAGAGAGAGAGAGAGAGAGAGAGAGAGAGAGAGACTGACGGACAACAAGCAAGATCATATTTCACAGGCTGAATCAAACGTAATCGGAATTCTCATTAAGTGCAATCACAGGTCTGGTCCCTGCATACCTGCTGAGCAGCACTTGTACTAAACGGATCGCACCAGGTGGGAAATCTGCTGACAGGGTAAGCTTAGCACACCCACTCAACCTGTGCACCACTTGGCCTCCTTTCACACAACTGTACAACTAGCCCCAACCACCACCCCCCACACTCTCTCAGGCCCTTTCTCCATCCCAACCCCCAGGAGACTGTAGAGCAGCTAGGTAAAGCCTGGCCCATCTGCATTGCAGGAATACATTTGCAAACCTGTGTTTATTTATAGGCCCTTAACCCACTTAATATTGCATTTGTCAATGTCAGCCTTGTGTCCTAATCTCAACCTCTGTCAGCACGTCATTAGTAACCACTTGTGCCCCCCTCCACCCTAACCCATCATACCACTCCACCTCTTTTTTCCTCTCCACATAACTGGATGGGAAGAACTGGATAGGATGAGGGGCGGGGTGGGGCAGGCAGAGGTCTATCAGCTGCCAACAGTGGCTACGCTCCCTACACATATATACACACATACACACACACACAGCCACACAAACCAATCCTCTGGACACCCTGCAGACAGGAGACAAGGCCTCTCCACTACAGAGAATGCAGCTCCACAGGCTTTGGAAGGGGTGGGTGAGGGGGGATCACAGAGAGCAGGCAGCGGTAGGGAAAGACTGGGTATGAATGTAAGTATACAGCACTGATGGTTTCACTGCACATGGAACTGCCATGTAAAAGGAGTAAATAAAGTTTATGTATATTAAGTGCACTGTTCCATTTTAAAATTAGCTTTTTAGGCTATTGGTTAGCCTAGAATACAACCCTTTGTATTTAGCTAAACATTTACTGCTCAACTTCATTTGAAATGAAGCAACAGTGCAGGTACTGAGTGGCCTCAACAAGTGCTAGCACAGCTCCAAAAGGAAAAGTGGACTGAAATGAGATGGATGGAGCTACACCTACCGTTTAACAAACTGGGCTTAATGTTAGCACCATTACTACCAGTGCTTATTGAGTAAAGTATGATAAAATTCAGGAATGGGAGGACACGGTGCAAGTCTCTCATTGTCAAATTTCATATACATTTATGAGTGGAAAAGTTAGAGGGGGATAGGACTCTGCCCTTGTCTTCTGTTTTGGCTTTCGTCATGTGCCATGACATGCAGCTCTTTCTATTCCATGTGATTAGAATGCAAATCAAACAGGGACTGAAACATTTTATACACATATACACACAGGAATATACGCATGCACGCCTCTCTCCAGCTTCATCTCTCATTGTTCTGTAGCTCCGCTCGTCCCCCCGGTGGTGAGAGAGCACGTCTATTTCTGCAGGCCGGTGGGGGGCTCCAACTCAGGCCCACCGGTGTACTGGCTGCAGTTGGGGTCCCCCCTCACCCTGATCGAGGAGGGAATCTGGACGCCAGTGTGGGGGTTCACGCACCAGCACTCGCCCCGCTGCCCATGGGTGGACATGTGGCACTGGAACACAAGAGGCGGAGAGAGTGAGGGGATGGGGGTGGATTTTAGAGGGTTAAGCCTCTAAACTGCAAGAGCCAACTCTACATATTTTACATATTAGTGCAATGGTAGTGTTATTATTAACAATAATGATAATAGTAATAAAAATAATAAGAAGAATAATAATGCAGTTTAAGGAAGTAAACCTGTTGGCCTGTATGTGGATCCACACCTTCTCACTCTCAACTACATAACTTGCAAAGTTTCATAGAAGTTACTGAATAATTTATAGTAGTTGAAGTTGAAGGGGTAAATGCAGCACTTGGTACAGTGATGAAGAGGGAGGGGTGGTGGGTGGAGCAACCGTACCCGCCTCATTTGTCACAGCATGGCTCTCCGACCCCCACTGAGCACTCCCGAAATGAGGTCATAATTGAACTGGACATAGCTTACACAGGGACCCAAAATAGGCAAAAAAACAGACTTTCCAATTTTTTCCTTCAGTGGCAAAGAACAAAAAGTGACAGTTACAGTAATTACAAGAGGAACAAGATGATTACAGAACAATTTAGGTTGGAGAAGTAAAGTTTCTGAGCCCTGGGAACAGAGCTTTCGCATCAAAACAATGCACTCGTTCGCTTCTCATGGGTGGATTTGTCCCCGTTTTACCTCTGCCGTCTAATGCTACGTGTCGTCATGTTGCTACAGATAGCTCATATCGTTGTTTTGGCTCTAAAATTAAAGTGGGTCTCCGTCAAGGACATGCAAGGGATGGAGAAAAGAAAATAGAGCCTGATTGCAAAACAATGTCTAAACTCCCCACAGGCTGGCGACAGTCATTTAACAAACATTTTTATGACCTTGTAACTCCCGGGTTCAGACGCTGTCACCTTGGCGTTGACAAAACACCCTTACTTCCGAAAGTGTGGGAGCTGGTTTTTCAGACAGCTCTAATTGCCATGTCATTCTGTCGTGTTTTCGTGCCAAATTGTGCAACCAGTGTAGATGAGAGGTTGTACATTGCCTCATGCAACTCTAACACTGCGTTAAAGTGATGATAGCCGTACAGACTGTGCGTGCCTCGGATCCACTGAACTGATTAAGCGTTGACTGCCTTGGGGATAGTTTTACTTGACGATTTTAGTTTCTCTTTAGTTTTTCAACCTTTATCCAACTAAGAAAAGTGCATTGCGAACATAAGTTCCCTCCTTAAAAGCTTTGTTTGGGGAGCTGGGTTGTGGTTGCAGATGTTAACCACACTACTGGTGTAATATGGGGTAAAATGTAGGAAGTAGAACAGCAACAGCAACCTTTTTTACCTTTCTCCCTTTAAACACATTACAGCAATCTTCTTCATAGTTTTGCATAGTCTTTCAGGGCTAGGTGTGACCTTGTAATGCGAATACACGTCTGGGTTGTTAAACTGTTGATTCACGAAGCAAACAAGGATATACCGCATCTAACACCCACTCACAAATTCCTCTAGTCTGTGCTTTAACATCAGGAGCAATTAATTGCACAAGCAACACAGGCTAGTTAGCAAAATGCTACCATTAGGGAATGGAACTGTTTTTTCCTTGCAAGAGGTTTTGTTTATTACTACCACATTGTGTTCTCCCCACATGAGATTTGGACTTTTCAGCTGTACTTACTGTAATGACAGGCTTCTTGTGAGTCAAACATTGTTGACAAACGCACCATTGCCCCCTACTTTGAGACGCTGGATCGGTTTAGAAATTTCACACTCACATTTAGCCCAAAATTTCTTGTGGTTGTCCCCAGACTACCTTCTTCATATTTCGCTCCTGAAACACGCTACAACAACCTTCTTTACATTTCTCAGCACAGGCGGTATGGACTTCACAGCACTAGAAGACTGGCTGTGTAGTGCACCCCTGTTGGTAATACATGCTAATACATTGCTACCTCTGCTGCTACTCTTAATATATTCCATGCTAGGAGTTAGTAACATTATCATTATCATACATGATGGAACGCATGAAAGGATAAAGCATTGCTGACAGGCTTTAATTACACTAGCCACATTTACATGCAGCCTAATAACCTTAATAAGCCAACTAATAGCTTAATCGGAATCGAATACATCCATGTATACACCATTCACAACCTATGGTGGGTAATCCTGTGAATAATCTGTTAAATAGAAGAATAATAGCCGTGTAAATGCCTGTATCCGATTACATTCCCGATCAGAAAGTTTAGGTATGTTCTGCGCGTGTGCGTTTGTGTCACTGCAAAAGTTTATAATGTTCAACATGGTGGAGCAGAAACTGGTCTGCAGAGGAGACAAAGTTTATGCTTTGATCTTTAAAAGACTGCGGTGGGACTGACGTCCAGCTTATGTGTCTCAGAACATGACGTCTTCCTCTTGGCCATCTTTAATAAGTACATGTGAAGTACGTTTTCCTGAGTCATCATTTTAAAGCAATTAAAAACACAAGCACCGCTCACTGCTGCTCGTCTCACTCTGACTAGACTCTTGTGATGCTTGTTGTCAATGGTAACATTTACTGTATGCAAGCGCTTGATTTTGGATCGGATTACTTGTAGTGTACATGTAAACGGAGATTTTCCAGCAGATTGTTGAGTAGAGTGAGCATATAAACACCTCAGTCTTAATCTATAATCGGAATATATTCAATTGGATTGGCAAAAATCTTTGCATGTAATACAGCCACTGCTATATGTGTATGAGAAACGATGTCAATAAAATAGGCCTGTATGGACAACTATTCTGCAATACCCCAAAATGACCTCGCCTCTACATGGCTCATGACCTCCAGCATGAGAATTACTGCTCTAACACAGCCACTTCACCTTGTTAATTAACTGATTAGTTGTTAGAACAGGGAAAACACCAAATTATGCAGTGCAGGGTTACTCTAGGACCACTGCTGGAAACCACTGCTCTCAAGACACTTATTGTATGCTGCAGCATATTGGGTGCCTGCAGTGACCACTTACTTGTTTTAGATTATAGTGTCCTTTCTGGTCACAGTTGGGGAACTTTAGTTCATACAGGTTCTCCAGGGTTCCTTTGTTGTCATGGAAGGTCATTTTAGAGATCTCCTCCAGCACCTTATCAAGCTCCTGCTGACACTGACTCTGTTCAGCCAGAAACACACACACACACACACACACACACAAGACAGAGCAAGATAAGAACCAGTTCGGCAGCCTCATGAAACATAGCTGATATTTATCTCTTGCTAGCCCTAGTTCTCTGCTCTTTCACTCTATTTCTCTCTCTCATTCGCTGAGGAAAGGCAGCTGCATCAAAGGGCCTCTCTCACTTTCTACCTACCTCCCCTCTGTCTTTCTCCCCCCTCTCTCTCTCATTCTGGCTGCTCGATGCTTGGCCCAGGATAAGAGGGTACCAAGAGTGAGCCCTGCCAGGGATCTTATCCATATCATGTGGATGAAAAGCTCTCCAGCAGGGCGCTCACTGCACTCGGGGCCCAGCTCTCAACACAAATGACGTCAGCCTGACATTCTAATAGAGATTCTGCTGTCCAGGGGATGGGTGATGGATGGGCATTAACAATTTCTGAATCCTCCCTCGGCCTATTTGATAAAGCCAGATTGCCTTGATACATCCCTATACCATTCATGCTAATACTGTTGTTGTATCTGCTGTTGTTTGCTAATAGTCTCATTGAATGTCTTTTTATTTAGCCATTTCTGGTGTAACATACAGAGTTGGACAAATATATCATTGTTTTTTCAGATCTAAACACGTTATGGTATCTCTTTCAGGGAACTTCAAAACATTTCATGTGCATTGTAGTGAAAAATACTAGCTTGAATTTTCATTACAGTGGTGGAACCAGGGGTTGAAACATTCACAGTGCAAATACAGCCATTTTATTATCCAAAATACTCAGTGGACCTATAAGTCTCTCCTTAGTTTAATATGTAAAGTTGATGTTTTAATTAGAAAAACAACCACATTGATAGTTACCATAAGATGAATGTTGGAGTAATACATAAAAATGATCAGTCCAGTCGATTGGAAATTACTTGTGTGTGATTTATTTAAATTTACTGAATACATTTTACTTAATTGGGCATCTTAAAAACTACACAACGTTACATGGAACCACTTGACAGAACATTTTTAAGTAAATCCAATATTTACATTTTTTGGGTAACACATTGGAATAATCAGTCCAGCTAACCATAATTTACTTCAGTGTCATTCACTTGAATGTACAATTTACATTTAATTTTGGGTGTATTTTGCCTTCCTTTTGATATCCTGAATGTACCTCTTCACCAAGAAAGGATTGGGGAAAAAAGTTTATGCCCAAAAGCTCATGTCAAACCTATAATAAAAAAATGTCTCATAATGTATCAGGCAACATATTCATAACTATTTCATATAATAGCCCATTGTATGGTAGCTTTAAGAAGTATGAAAGGGTTCAGACGTCTGGTTCCTTTGAATGCAATTCTGATTCACTATGTATCTCTACAATAGAGCATTTCACATCAAACCACTTTGTACTGTAAAACATTGTGCAGCGTTTAAACTTAAATAAGTAAGTAACTGGATTAGCTTGAAATTTTGAGTTAATTAAACTTGTAATATTAAGTTAACAGTAGTAGAATAATTTGTGTTTTACATTTGTTAACTTATTATTTCAAGTTCAACAAACTCAACATTTCAACTTAACCTGGTTACATAGTTTTTCAACTTCAAATGCATCATTTCTTACTGTCAAATGACCTTGCATCTTACAGAAACTTTGAAAAGTGGATGGAATTCCCCTTTAACAGCTGGAAGTACAGGTTATGCTAATTTGTGAGTGCGATGCTGGCAGTTTTAGCCTCGGTTTATATGAAATGATTCATCATAATCTCGTAATTTTCCAAGATGAATTATCCAATTCAGTGAACAAAGCCATATCTCAGCAACTAAAGCACTGGGAGGACTCATCTTGGCCAAATGACTATTTGAAAAGAAGACCACAAATAAAGGCTTGTGTAAGAAATGATTGAAACAAGTTGGATATGGCCAGAGAAGGGTAGATTGCCATAGTGGGAGTGCTGTTTTGGGATGAAGTCATGCAGCAGTGGTCAGCTGGCTGAAGATTTAAAGGTCCAGGTAAGACATGGTACATTTCCAAGAAAAGTTAATTAACTTGCTGTAGCTATGCATGATGGCCAAAGCTGATAAAGGCAAGTTGCAGAAATACCAGCATGATAAGGCTTGGCTCATATAATTTTGGCAAAGATGCCAAGTGTTTGTTCTCCCTTAGCAATGCATTTGTCACTGTCTGCTGTCACCAGTCAGTAGTTACTGAGTAACAAAGAAGGCCTCCCAGAAACATTTTTATGGAGAACAGCCCAAATGAAGCCATCTAACAATCTTACGAGCACTTACAGCTGTTCATATTTAAAGCGAATTGTACAATCAGCCGTCATCTTTTATAAACTAATGCATAATAAACAAGCACCATGAAAAGCACTCTCCTCAGCACAGTCATCAATTTTATTGAATTATCACAGAGGTAGTTGTTTATCTCAGAAACCACATGTATTTAAGCTGTGTGTGTGTAAGTAAGTGAATGTGTGCACTGTGTGTGAGTGTTATAACCAGAAGAGGGCACTACCGTACTAAGTACAATGCCAGCCAAGGTCAATCCAAGGCTCTGCTTGCATTGTTTCACTTTCTCTGCTGCTTTAAGACTGAACCACTAGTCCCTTAAACAGATCATTTGGACCCTCAGGGCTGAGAGGTGTAACAGGACATGAGCATTTCTACCTTGAGGGACTCTCACCTGTCTGGGCCGAGGGCTCTTGAGCTCCTCCCCACGATTTCCCATCATCCTGGTCTTCTGTTCGTTCTGGTGATGCCTGACCGCAGTCTCCTTGAGCCAGTAGTTGGCATCTTTGGTCTGCTTCTTCTGAAATGGGGACCTTGTGCCGTATGGCTCTCCTAACAGAGGCCAAAAGAAATACACACATTTTTAGAAAAGAATATGGAGCTACAGAATCAACAATGGCTCTGCTCACTGCTACCCAGCCAGTCACTTTAGTGGAGGAGTGGAAGCATTTTTGCTCAAATCAGAGTTGGGGGTTTTGGCAGATCATCAGAGCGCAGTAGAAACAAAGTAATAGTTGGGTCTTAATGAGAGTTCCTGACTTCGAGAGGCCTGAGAGGAGATAGAAGTCTTTCATCTGCACAGAGCAGGTTGAGCCAAGCACAGGTGAGCTTGTGTAACCCATCTTATCCTCCGCTAAGCAAAACTTTTTCTGCACAGATAATGCAAATTAGAAGGCTGTAGATAACTCTTGGCGAGACTAACTGGAAGAGAAATCGGTGGTCATTTGGAGAGCGCATATCTTTACTTATCACAAATGTTACACTGACACTCCTGGATCAGGCCCAGTAGCACCTCCCACTCAAAGGCACTTTTCAATGTAGGGGCAGTTGGGAGGTTCAGAGACACTGCTATTTGTATTTGCTCAACAGACAGGATTATCTGAATTTGTATTTGAATTCAGATACAAACTGGAAGTGTGTTTAGCTTAAACTGGAAATGGGTGGAAAGTGCCAGAAAGTACACTGTTAATTATTGCCAGGATTTTATTGCAAAATCAACTCATCTCAACATCCTTTCTGTAATAATAACTGACTGTAATAATAATGCGAGGTTAACATGGTGCTATACCCCACAGCATCATTGAATATGACTTTTAAATTGTAAACATCAAAGGGTTAAAAATATAATAAAAACATTTAATTTGTGTTGTATTCTAAGTGTTTTCAAGACTTTTAAAGTTTTAAATGTTTCTTTTCTTGCAATGCTGGAACACTGAGGTGCTGATAAAAGGTTATTGTTTTTTTGATATTGCCAGATGGGTTTTTGATAATTAAATTATAAGCAAAATTAAAATGTCTGTAAAATGTGTATCTGCATTGTAAAAATTTGGGATATTCTGTGCAAATTCAGTGCAAAACGTGGTGAATAAATATGTTTGTCCACAGTGTTTTAAATTAACACATTTATAGGTCTGATCAAATTTAATGTGTTTTTTTATACTGAGCTGCTGCTAGGTTGGCTGTTTGGGGCATCAAGGGACGTTAACACTCCTATAGAATCTTGTTAACTGTAATATTAAAGCTCTGCGGAAAAGTAATCTTTCTAATACACTGGTTCTTGCCTGGTCCTTCACAGATCCTAATGAGGTAAAGCTAACATAACTGGCCTTGTAGGCTTCATCTAAATTTGTCCTGTAATAGATTTTAGTAGAAGTAGAAATACTTAATAAATGAAAACTGTTCAGGACTGTTAACATTCAGAATGAAATTGCAGCTACAGACGCATGACTAACTAAAGAAAAAACCTAAATAAATGAGTGGATAAACATAACTAGTGTAGATGCTTCCAGTCAAGTGTCCTGCATGATACAATTAAGCCATTATCATCCTTTTATGCTCTGTGGCATGTATAAAAATGCTGAGCAGGCCCAGAGGCCCAGTTGACCTCAATGTTGGACAAAGATAGCAAGAGGAAAAGATCTAAGTGACTTTGAAAGAGGGTTCATTATTAAGGCACAGATGGCAGGCGCTTCAGTAACTGAGAACATCATTGCAGGACATGATCAGACTGTGTCAGCAAGTCCATCCACAACTACACAGAGAGGAATATTCGAGTAGAGTTGCAGTGCATAAACTCCTAATTATAAAAGACCAAGGCACATTGGAAAGTTTAGAGGTGCAGAAATCCTAGAAACTGGTCTACAGAGTTGTGGAAAACAAGGGATGGTCAGATAGGTCATTCATACACCAAGAGAACAGCACAAGCCTAAATCCATGACCCTATAGTGAGGGGGTCCTGTGTAATAGACAGCACTCTCCACCACCATCTTCAAAATACCAACTGAGGAAACATCTTTTGGAGTTACATCCCTTCAGTATAATCCCAAAAACTTGATAGGCCAAGGCACATTGAAGCTGTTCTGGTGGCCTGTGGTGCCCCCACCTTAGTAAGATACTTTATGTTGGTTTTTCCTTTGTCACTCATCTGTTGCTTCATAAAGTTTTTATGTTAAAATGTGTCTACTAGGCTAATTCCTAATAACTAGTCGCAGCATCCACTACTTTGGACAAGAGTACACCATTGCTAGGAAAGAAACATCTACGTTTAAACCATCTCTCTCTGGAGTCACTCGCTTTTCTCTTGCAGTACAAGCCCTTTCAGTTTTTGGAATGAAACCTCATTAAACAGAAAATTCAAACTTGAAATATTCCGATCAAACCTATGTTTAGTGCTACCCCAAATAATATACTTGTATTCTCATGTTGATCATTTCCTGTGGCTTGGTGCAGCAGGAACTATCCCCACTGTGTTTTTATGGGCCCAGATGAATGTGACCTCAGTCTCTGTCCCATCCTAGCAGTGATGGATCCTCTATGCTTGCTTATTTTGTCCCCCCTTTAATCAGGGGACTATCAGGATGCAATTACCATCATAATGAAGCCTTCCTTCTCTCTGTTTGTTCTGGACTGCAGTGTGCATGTGTTCCCTCGAGGGGCTCCGCTGCTGAATGTCACTCTTGCTAATGTCACTTGCACAGTGAATGGGTCACTGGGCCTCTGGAGGGCCGTTTGGCCTGCTCTCCTGCTGGGCTGAGGCCACGGGCAATGGTCAGTGCTGTGATCTCATCATTGTCTGCAATGTGTCTGAGCCTGCGGGCCACGTGCCCGAAATGCCGGCTGGCATGATGTAAGCGGGGGCCTGAGTGCCAGAGCGGATCGATGTGAAGAAGCACGATTACTCTGCACATCGTCCAGCCACAGTCACTTCAGCCTCGTGTTTCACGCCCAGCCGTGAGGAACAGGCCTAAGAATAGTGTCCGAAACTGCCAGGCAACTTTTCCAGAGGTCGCCTCATTTCAGAAATTGCTGGCGGGTGTGCTCAGTGGTGGACACCTGCTATTACGCAGATACTAAAGCATCCCCTCTCTTTGCTCACATTCCTGGGCCTGGCCCTTGCCCAGCAACACCTCCTACTCAAAGTCCCTTCCTCTCTTCCTCTCTGTGTGTGGGCCGTGCGGTCTGGGTGTGGACAATGACATTCTCACAGGGTCGCCGAGCCTGCAAAATAGACTGGCTTCCCTACTGTGATTCTAAAACTTGCTATGGTGTTAAAAAGCCAACTGTCTTGTACATTGTACACAGAGCACAATTAGATAGATAGATAGATAGATAGATAGATAGATTGATTGATTGATTCCTAAATGTTTCTTGGCTTGGACCTAGGGATCTAGAAAAAAACATTAATTGACGTTTTTGGCACTATTATTGTTTGAGTGTGAATGAATGGACGGATGGGTGGATGGATATGTGGGTGGATGGATATGTGGGTGCGTGGGTGGATGTATGGATAGATGCATGGGTGGGTGGATGGATGTTTAGATAACCCAAGCTGACCACACAAATGAAAGGAAAAGAAAGGAAGTGTATTAAAGAAAGTCTTTCTCGCTCTTAAAAGCCAATTTGTCCAGATTTTCCTCTGAAGACGTGGTCACAAAAACACTATGTCCCAAAATATCCAGATACCCCTTCTAATTAGTGAATTCAACTACTTTGTTATACCTATTGCTGACACAGGCATTCAACAGAGCACACACAGCTTGTAAAAATCCCATAGAAAACTATCGTGTATACAATTGGACAATTGGCTAGAGGGGTAAAAAGCCCCCCAGCATTGGACTGTGCGGCACCACCCAATACCTTTTGGTATGAGTCAGATCCTCCAACATCAGTATCTGACCACACTGATGCTCTTTTGGCTGAATGCAATCTGATACTGACCAATACCAGTCCAATATAATCCAGGGTTCCAAAATCTAGCATAAAGCGTTCACTGTTACTGCTCTCACAATTTCAGAAGATCTTTAAAGGTACAAAAACACAATTAATTCACCAATTATCTATTAGCTGTGCAACATCACATTTTCATGTAACAGTATGTGTACAGAATGTATTTAGCCTCATACTCATGGCTTTATCTACTCACGTGTCCACTGGAGAGGACTGTTTACAAAAACTAAAGTTTTTGAGAAATGACACAGCATGGTGCAACCACATGCTTACATTTACCTAGTTATGTTTAAAACTGCTAGTCTTAAAAACATATACATTAGTGTACAAGTGTAGAGAGGCTCGGGTCACATTTGGTTTGTTGAAGCCCTGAGTGCTGAAAGACTCTCCCACAAGTCCCTCAGCACAGCATGCTGGGAAAGCAACCAGAAGACACTGACATTGATTGAAACCTGTCTACAGTTTACCCTTCTGGTAAAACATTGACAGAAGAAAACTCTTTACCATCCCGCTGAGCTCTGTATGTCAGAATAACAAGTTATGGAGCAAGAGTGGAGCAGCCATGTTGTTTTTCTCAACAGGCTCCAGTGAGGTCTCACACTCTGCCAGACCTGTACTATGAAAAAGTAATGGAAGGAAAACACAGACAGCTGGGATGCCTGAAAGGCTGGCTGGTTCCTGCCTCGTTCAGTTATGTAAGCATATGACTTTAGTCAGGGTTTTTATCCAGTACACATAGAGGCACCCTAAAAAAAGTGTAGAAGTTAACTTTTTTTTTTAAAGGGAAAAGTGTTCCTGCAGCATATGTGTGCAGGATAGCACCTTGAGGTGTTTGGAGAGGTATGTTTGTCATGGCAAATTTGTCTCTCCTAACATACTTTATGGCTGCTTGAAAGTCACAGCGCACCACTTTCACAACACAGTATCACACATTGTACTGAGCCAGAAAGTTTTGAACATCTGCTCTTTGACAGGCTGATATTTATTCACAGTTCAGCTTTATTTCTACACCTTGTTTACATAAGCCTTTGTCTCCACTCTCATAAACTGTCATCCTTTGATCTAAAGGGGAGAAACATAAGCCTTATAATGGAAGCACTAAACAC